TGGGCCTGCTAAATATTTTGGAAAGAATGCCCACTGAAGATCCAAGAAGGGGTCCTAGATCTGGGGCATGCCACCCTTCTACCTTTACTATCTTGTCTGTATGATGGGGATAACAAGACCTTGCTTTCCTAGTTCAAAGGGATGTTCTCAAGTCAGCATATGAACAAATTAGGATAGATAAGTGTGATAGTTTGAATGTAATTGGCCCCCATAAGCTCATAGGGAGTGACACTATTAGGTGTGGCTCTGTTGGAGTGGGTATGGCTTTGTTGGAGGAAGTGTGTCACTGTTGGAGTGGGCTTTGAAGTTTCCTATGCTTAAGATATTGCCCAGTGTCACAGACCACTTCCTGTTGCCTTCTAATTACAATGTAACCAGCATCATGTCTGCCTGCACACCATGTTCCTGCCATGATGATAGTGAACTGAACCTCTGAAACTGTAAGCAAGCCACCCCAATTAAATGTTTCCCTTTTAAGAGTTGCTGTGCTCATAGTGTCTCTCCATAGCAATAGAAGCTCTGATTAAGCAAGTAAAGGTATTTGGGGATGGAACCTTCCAGGTTACTAAAGGATAAATTGGTGTTTAAGAAAATTAATTAGCTTGAGACTTGAAGGGTGCATCCATCCATAGCCCTCAACTATGAGGGAGGGAGCTTTTAATGTGGTTTGCCATCATTACTAATGGCAAGAGAATTGGAAAATCTGTAGACAGGTAACAAAGACAATCAGGAGGTGAGAACACATTGTTTCTGAAGCAGAGAGTAATAGTCCAGAGAGATCATTGCCTTTGAATGTGAGTGGAAAGGCCCCGGCTGAGGTCGGGAAGATATCAATCCCACACGCCCCTGAATTCTTCCATAAGTCTTTCTTCCAAAACCAGATGGTGAATGAATTAGATTCTCAGTGAATTATAGAATATTAAATTTTATGACCAAGTCAAATTGATGTCTCATGCCTGGGGTGAGTCTATTGGGAGCAGCTTAGATGATCTTTACCATGGACTCATGGAAAGGGTTTTGGTAAATGATCTCAGGCAGAGACACCAGCCAGGAACAGCATTTGTCATACCAGATGGAAGGACTGACCCTTTGAATGGGAAAATACACCTGTCTTTTTCTGAAAACTGGACATTTGTTATATCATATGTCAATGAATGGATCTCTCCTGTTTAGTGTGTATGAGCTTCTGGGACACTTCAGTTTGGTGCTGTTGCTTGTGAGGTAATCTCAGAGACACTTAAAAAGACATCTTGGGACCTCCAAAGGTCAGATTTTTAAAGAAGACAGAATAAACTGACCTATTTTCTCCCTGGGAGAAAGGAAATATTTTTAGAGGTTGAAAATCTACTACACACAAGAACCAAGTGAGCTTGTCACTGTAGTGTAGTGAGAGTGCCCATTGTTTGGGATCACAGAAGGACCTTGACATCTTGAAACCAAATTATAAACTACCTAAAAAGTTAATTGGCTTTGATGATTGCTCCTCCCCCAAACTCCTGTAACTATTCCAAACTCATTATTTAAGATTCAGCCAAAACATTGCCTCCTGTAAGAAGGCCCCTGAAACCTGTAAGTAGCAACCATACTTCTGGACATTCTGTCACATGGCCCTGATACATCTTTACTCATTTCTCTCTGTGTGCACAGCACATGCATGTCTGGAGAAGAGAAGGCAACTTTGGATGTTGTTCCTCAGGTGTTGTCCACATTTTTTTTTTAGGAGACAGAGTCTCTAGAGGCCTAGAACTCACCAAGTAGGCTAGGCTGATTGGTTACTGATCCTCAGGAATCTGCCTGTTCACCTATTTCTGCCTCTCAGTGCTGAGATTCCCTGTGCACAGCACCACACAGACTGTTTTTGTCTTAACATGAGTTCTGGGGGTTGAACTTGGGTCCTTGTGCTTGCATGGAAAACACTTTACCACCCTAACTATCTCTCTACCCACTTAGCTCTCCAAGAAAAGACATTCAGTTCTCACAACATGAAACAAAACTAAGCATAGCCCTCTGCCTGGTGGCAGCAGGTCTCACTGGCTGGGAGAGTCCCCAAGAAGCAGAGAGAGCTCTTTGAAGTCTTATTCTTGAGAAAACAAACCTATAAATTTGAAGATACATCATGAGCACAGCAATGAACTGTACCATGCTTGGTGTTAATATTGAATGGGGAAGTGCAGAAGTTAATCAAAGTAAAAACCTGGGAAGAAAGTATTGTATATAAGTCTTTGATAGATTGGAGAAGCATCGAATATATTTAAAGTGAGGATTTCCACCAGACCATTCTGAGGTCTGGGCCCTGAATAAACACTTGTGGTAGGGTACTTGAGAATGTCACTATATTGAGAGGATTCTGAAGACCTGGAAGAGGGCATGTCATTAGGTGGACAAGACCAAGACTCAGTACTGATGTTTGCTCTGCCTGTTCTCAGCTATGTAATCTTCAACCATTGCATCCTACATTCTTGAGATGCTGTGATAAAAATGGCTGGTTCTTCCCCGGATCATGTTCTTTCCCCTCAAAACCACAGGAGAAGCTAAGGAGCAGTCACAGCCAAAGGTATGTTACAGAGGGTCTATCCTACACAGTCTCACCTCCACTCATCTGTCCTCTCTCTTTTCCTGCCTCTGGAGGGAGGAGGCTCTGAGGACCTTGAGGAAGGTGGAGCCACAGATGGAAGGGGTCTGGGTCCTGAAATGGCATGTAAAAGGCAGCCATACCAAAAACGGTCTGTGGATGTGAATAGGGAATGCACTTTCATTGCAATGAACCATTGATCTGTAATTGAAAATAAGTTAATGTGGATAATATGGATTTATTTTCTCTATACGATGAAGACTAATAATGACACTTGCTGCAGATACTGCAAGAATCAGAAGAAATGCTCATTTGTACAGGAAATCACCTGAGAAGCAGCCCCTGTCCTCCTCCTCTTCATTTTGGATTCAGCATGCTGGTTGCAGACTCGCTGACACTCAACTATCCGCCCATCTCCACACACGGTAAATAGCTTGGGTTCACTACATTTCTTTTATTTCATTAGCTGGAGTTTCCTCCTCAAATATTTCATTTTTATGATAAAAAAGTATTTCTTACTGCCTTTTTGCTTGCTTGAGACATGGTTCTACTGAGTAGACCAGGGTAAACTCACCATCTTCCTTTGTTCTGCCTCCTGACTGCTTGGATTACAGGCATATTCCACTAAGTCTGCGTACATACTGTTAGTTTTTAAATGCAGTTCATCCCATCCTCAAATCTTGTTGCAATTTGACTCCTAGTATAGCAGTAGAGTTGAGATCGGTACATGTGATTGGGTCATGAAGGCTCTGTCTAATAAACGGATTGATCTATTCATACATTAATAAAGCGATGGACTAATTAGTTATAGAGGGGCTTTGTTGGAAAAATCAGCTCTCTTCAATGTATTTGCTTGGTCTCTGCATTTGATGCCCTTGTGATGTGATGATGTAGGAATAAGGATGCAGTTTTTAGTCTTCCCAGCATCCATGAATGTAAGCTAAACAAACCTCTGTTCTTTATACTCTTCAGTTGGATTTAGTTTTCACTTATACTCAGTATTCAGGTATTCAGTTCTAGCAATAGAAAATGGATTGAGACACTTCTCTATCAAGGAAAAACATCTTAAAACCTGTTGAATGGAAATACCTACTCAACTGAAGATCATTATTACTAGCATCTTGGTATCTTTCTCCCCACATTTGTTTAGGTATATATGATTTTATCATCATTGAGAACATAATACACATGCAACTTGGAAGCTTGTGTTGTACATTTTGCTTACATTCATCGTAAACTTACCATCAAAAGTTCTCTGGAGCCATGGTTTTCAGGAGTTCTATACTATTTCATTGTAAGGATTTTCCATAATTTTTCTTAGGCTGTTTACAGTTTTTCTGTATTGTAAAAAGTATGGCAGTGCACATATTTGCAAGCTTTGGATTGGTTCTTTTGCACTCTGAATTCTTTGTGCTATTCTGATTCTGGGCCTGATGATATGGAGCAGCTCATTTTGCATTCCTTGGATATAGTCTGGTTCTTGGAATAGGTCCTAATTAGGTTCCTATTGCTGTGATAAAAACACTGACCAGGCCGGGCGGTGGTGGCGCACGCCTTTAATCCCAGCACTCGGGAGGCAGAGCCAGGCGGATCTCTGTGAGTTCGAGGCCAGCCTGGACTACCAAGTGAGTTCCAGGAAAGGCGCAAAGCTACACAGAGAAACCCTGTCTCGAAAAAACCAAAAAAAAAAACCAAAAAAAAAAAAAAAAAAAAAAACACTGACCAAAGCCACCTTGGGGAGGAAAGGATTTATTTGGCTTACACAGCCCACACCATAGAACACTGAAGGAAGCCAAGGCAGGAATTCAAGGCAGGAACCTGAAAGCAGGAACAGAAGCAGAAGCCATGGAAGAATGCTGCTTACTGAGTTGTTCTCCACTGTTTGCTCAGCCTGCTTTCATATAGTACATGGGATCATTTGCCCATGGGTAGCACTGTCCACAGTGAGATGGATCCTCCCACATCAATCATTAACTAAGAACCCCCTCCCCAAGACACTTGCCTATAGACCAATCCGATGGAGGCAATTCCTCAATTAAGATTTTTCTCTTCCTAGATATGTCTAGTTTTGTGTCAAGTTGAAAAAAAAAAAACAACCAGAACAGATTGTAACAGCATTGAGATCCAAGGACTCCTGGAAAGAATAGTGAGATATTTGGAGGCCAGAGTGAAGCCCTTTTTCACACTGGCTTGCTGGGTGAAGGTGCTAACTGAGCACGATGGATGTGATACTTAATTACAGGTGTCAGCTTGAAAAACTAAGGGATATATTGATGCTTGGAAAGTATTATTTCTGGGTATGCCTATGAGTGTTTTTCATTCATAGACAAGAAACATTGCCATTTTAATCTATATACCAAGCTAGGAACAGCCACCTTTATCCAATTCAATGGACTCCATCTAATCCATGCAAGATCTGGAAAGAATGAAATAGTGGAGAAAAGGTTATGTCTCTCCCTCACTCCCTCCTTGATCTTCTCCCCATCCCTCCTACCCTCTTTTCCTCTCTTCCCCCTCTTCTCTCTCATGCTACAACCTTCTTTTTGCCCTTGGGCATCAGTGGTTGAGGCCCTTCTGGCCTTCAGATCTAGGACTTGTACAACAAGCCCCACAGGTCTTAGGCATTTCAACATGGATTGGGCCATCCTACCAACTTCCCTTATTCAAAAGCATGCAGATGGATCATCCTGAGATGTCTCAGTCTCCGTAGTCATCTATCTATGTTTCTATCATCTCTCTATATATCTATCAATCATCTATTATCTATCTCCCATCATCTATCAATCATCTATCCACCTACCTATTGACCTACTATCTATCTATCTATCTATCTATCTATCTATCTATCTATCTATCTATCATCCATTATCTATAATCTATCTACCCATCCTATCATTTATCTAGATAAGTGATTCTGTCTTTCTGGAGAATTTTTACTAATAAATAGGGCAGTGGACATGTCCTCTCCAATTCTTTGTGAGATGCATGCCATTTTTTTTTTTTTTGTCTTGGAAGAGTCAGAGATCATGGGTCATGAGAGGATGGTTGCACTATTTGGCCAGATAACACACCTCTTGAAATTATCTTTTCTGTTTTCAACAAATTCTGAGCATTTTAATTAAGACATAATTAACATAACATGCAATTAACACTTTTAAAGTATACAGTTCAATGAGTTTTCATATAAATGCAAACTGTCCAAATATCTCTACTACTTGCAGAATATTTTCATCAGCTCCCAAAGGGAATTCCAAGCCCATTAGCAATAACTCTCCTTGCTTCCCTCCCTCCACCTCTGACAACCACCGATTTGCCTTCTGTCTCTATGAATTGACCTAGCCACACTTCATTGAAATGAATCTACAATGCATGACTTTCTGGGTTTGATTTTCTTTCTTTTCTTTTTGAGGAAGCATCTCATGTAGTCTAGGCTGGCCTTGAGCTTAGTAGGTAACTGAGGCTGACCTTGAACTCTGGTACCTGTGGAGGTCAGATAAAGTCATTGAATACTCTCAAACTGGTGTTACAGATGATTGTGAGCCACCATGTGGATGGTGGGAACCAAACCCAGGTCCTCTCAAAGAGCAGCAAGCGTTTTTAACTACTGAGCCACCTCTTCAGCCCTATATATTTCTTTACTAGATCTTAGCGATTCTATTTTAGTAAAGTTGCAGGGCAGACATGAGCTTCCCTGAAAGGCATGCAGGCCAGCATGAGAAGCCAACATTCAAGCAATTATCCCTTATGTTACAGAGTACTGGTGGATCTGTGACAAGCACGGAAGATTCTGGCCCTCTGACTGCTCTGTGCTTGTGGGAGATTAGGAGAAGTTTGTTTCAAATCCCAGCTGCTCTCTGTTCTGTGGAGGTGTGTCTTAGTCTATTTCCTGTTACTCAGGCTCTTTATGAGGAAAAGAGGTGCATTTAACTTGGAGATTCAGAGTCTGTATTAGTTTCTTTTTTGTTGCTGTGATAAGACATCCTGATGAAAGCAGACAGGGTTTTTATTCAGACTTACAGTTCCAGAGGGTCTACAGTCTACCATGGTGGCAACTGCATGAAGTTCACTTATCACACTGCATCAGCAGTCTGGAAGAGAGAGTGAAAAGGAAGTGTGGCCAGGCTGTGGGACCTCAAAGCCTGCCCCCGGGGACTCACTTCCTCCAGCAAGGCTGCATCTCCCAAAGGTTCTACCACCTTCTCAATCAGCACTGCCATCTGGGGGCCAAGTGTTTAAACACATGGACTTATGGGGGACGTTTCACATTGAAGCCTCTACAGAGTCCAGGCAGCACGACTATGGTTAACTCTGGTGAGGTCCTGCTTCGCTGCAACATGGTGATGGCATCATGGGGAAACATGCAAAAAAAGAAACATTACATGTAAGAAAGAGAGCCAGAAGGATTTAGGGAGCAGCCTTTTATAATAACAAAGTGTTGTGAAGCTAACTCCTGGGGTCCGACGAGAAGGAGAGAAGGACATTAATCTCCTTCAAGGACAGCAGCCACAGTGAGGCAGTGATCTTCCACGAGGACACCACCTGTCACATCATCACTCTGGAGAACGACTTGCCAATGCATGAGTCCTTGGGGGGAATGAGGCACATCCAAGTCACAGCAGTGTATATTTTTAAAAGGTTCTTAATTTCCCATGGTATGTTTCCTGCCTTCATAATAGAGGCGTGATCTAGGTAACCTATGACCTCATGGGCCTGTGTGTGCAATATAAATCACATGTTTTTGAGTGAAATTCTAACTGCCAGGCCACCTCTCTCAATCTGACTGACAGAACTCTCATTCTTATGAGCCCCCACCCTAGCTGAAGAGCTGTTGACAGTTGATGGCTTCTAGGGGGAGGGAGAGTCAGTTTCATAACGACTGTCGATCTTGGTAGACCTACCAGGCTCCAGGAAACAGCCCCAAATCCATGAGTATATGGGCAGCACAGATGAGAATCAGTGGGCTAGGTAAGGGAAGGACATAAAATTGGGATGGGGTGAAGGGTGGGGAAGGTATCTTGTAGAGTTAGGGGGTGAAGGGATGGTTATGAATCAAAATATTTTATATGCATGTATGAAATCCTCAAGATTTAATGATATTTATACACACACATGTCTCAACATAATCATCCTTTTCAGTGTCCCCTGCTTGTCTCTGTAAGTCCTTCAGGGCAGGTCTCATGGGCACTGTCAGTACTTCAGCTGCAGGCACCTGCAGCAGCACACTGTTCCCCAAAACCCCTTTTATACCTGCTCCTACCACGTACCTCATTTCTGAGGTTCTTGGCACCGCATTTCCAAATTCCAGCAAAAAGCTGCTCTTTCAAGATCCCTTCAAAACTCTCTGCTATGGCCAGAGTGGGAGGTGCACCTTGCTGGAGGAAGTGGATCGGGGGGCGGACTTTGAGGTCCTAGAGCCTGCCCCACTTCCTTTTCACCCTCTCTTCCAGACTGCTGATGCAGTGTGCAGAGTGATGTGTCAGTGCAGCCAAGGCCAACGTCCCCTGCTTTTCCAGTGAAACAGGCAGCTCTGGTCAGTCCTGGGCTTCCCGGCTTTCCCTATACTCCAGCCAGACAGAAGCGCTTAGTAATTTCCCCACTTTCTCCTGGCTTCTTATTGTCCTGGCTTCTCCAAACCGATTTCCTTCCTCTGCTCTGCAAAAGAAGCCTTCACAGAGAGAAAAGAGGTATCTCACCATCATTAGTAGGTACTTGCCCTGGGAACAAGGATGTTCTGTGACAATTGAAAATAGTATCACTTGAGCAGAGCATGGTGGTGCACGCCTTTAATCCCAGCACTCATGAGGTAGAGGCAGGCATCTCTGAGTTCAAGGCCAGTCTGGTCTACAGAGTGAGTTCCAAGGCAGTCAGGGCTACAAAGAGAAAAACCAAGGAGGAGGAGGAGGAAAACAAAATGGTACCACCACAAGGTGATGTGGGATGGATGGGAATGGTGTAAAGTTCTGGGCACACACAAAAAAAGACACTCCCCCAGTACTGTAAAAACATCAAAGGTGACATTTCTACTGCAATGTATATTCATTTTCCAGCCCAGAGGAACTGGGGCCTGTACGTGACCCACAAAAGACTACAGCCACCCATTTTTCTGGATTTATGCAGCTCTGTTTGCCACCTAGACATGGGGGAAGCTTGGAATTTGAATTCCTATCTCCTCAGCTCACTGGCCCGGGCACTGTGGAAGATGGACCCTCTCTCTGTTTGTGGGTTTGGCCTGGTTGTGGCCACAATGTCCAGACCTGGGAGTTTAACTGTCTCCTCCCTGCTGCCCACAGGCCAAGGCTTTTGGAAACAGTCATCCCTTTTGGCTTCCACCGAAGACAGAAACTTGGATCCTCCCCTCAGGCAAGGTCTTTTCCATGGAGAGTCCTCCATAGAATCCCTGGGATTAGGATGCCAAACATCTCTCTGGCACTTCCAGGCCCTTGCCATGTGAGCGCCACTTGTGCCTCCTGCTTCCCACTGGTTTTGACAGCAGGCCAGGGCTGGCACTCATTCTGGTTGTGTTGTTCCCTCTCAGCACCTGCTCCATGGTGGCAACCAGCCCCCCCCTCCCCCCACTCCACAGCTGGCGAGCCTGAGGTACAACCTCCTGGGCTGAAGGCAGACTCCAAAATGGTGAATCAGATTACAGAAGTGGGTCAGGCAGGTGGTCGGTGAGGTGAGTTCTGTGAGGAAGTGCTGGTCAGAAGCCTGGCCAGGACTTCTCAGTTCCCCTTTCGGTTTCAGGGCAGTAGCAGCTGCAGTGTGTTCCCAGTGTTTGATGATTCTAGATGCCGGAATAAAGAAGCAGAGGAAGGGTTCTGTGAGTCAGATCTGGAGAAGAGTAACACCCTCCCCATCAGCACACACACACACACACACACACACACACACACGAGAATGAGTCCCCAAACTCAGGGAGCTCACAGTCACATTTGGGAGGCAGTAACATACCACATAATGGCACACATGAGTGGCGTTGCTGCAGGAAGATTGTGAGTCACTCTGAGAGTGGGTAAAGACTTCACCGAGGAGGTGGGTGCAATTTTACCTGGTGAACAAGAGCAGGGAACATTTTTGTTAGAGGAAATGGGTATGAAGGGCTTTGGTATCATCCACAATCTGCTTCAACACCCTTCAGGGCCATGCTCAATTAGCATCCTGGAGTAAAAATAACACATTTTGGCAGAGAAACTCCCAGAGGCCAGACAGCATTCCAGGAGCCAGGAAAGGCATGTGGGAGAGTGCAGATGAAGCCTACAATCAGGCCAGTCAGTTTGTGGAGCTCATCTCCTCCCAGCTCCCCCTCCTCCATCTATTCCATCTTTGCTAGCCCACTCCATTCCGGCTCCTCTGTATTTTTGTCTGACACAGACTTTTTCCAGTGTCCTTCCTCTTTTATGTTCTCCTCTCCCAGAGAACAAAGTCTGGCCTGGTTTGCAGAGTCCCTGAGCTTCAGCCTCTGGAGAGATGGGCATGTCCTAAGTTATCTGACAGCATGTCCTTACCTTCTCTTGATTCTTTCTACCTTTCATCAAAATTCCCTCATCAGACCCTTTTTACCCTAAAGCATCTCAATAGTAATGAATTCTATTGAGTTTTCTTTCTTTTTCTTCCTAAGTGTATTTACAATAACTAATATATTTGTACACAAAGTACTATTAATGTCCCTTTACACCCTAAACTGATTAGTGCTGCAAAGGTGATTGTTTCATGGCTTATTATTACTCTATTTTCATACGAGTCTACTCTGGATAGCCACTGTTACTGTAGATGGTATTCAACTTACAGAGAACTAGGGGGAAGCTGGTGCCCTGAATACCAGTCTAACAGAAAAATGACACCTCAATACTATTACAACCTAGTCCCCCTTAAATATTTCAAACACAAATGAAAGAAGAAAAGTGAACCAAGTTAATATAAAATTCAACCCACATTCTAACTCTCTATGCACAAACCCGACACGAAAACACAACATGAAACACCTGGACAACAGATCTTTCAAAATCTACCAATCCTTAAGTACTGACTCCTAATAAGAGTAACTTAGAGGAAATAAAAAAAAAGAATGATAAATTTGTTCAAAGAAGTGAAAGGTGACAATACTTGCCTTTAGAATTGCACAACACACACAGAAATACTAAGGAGATGAGGCAGACAATATAGGATATGAAAATGAAATTCAACAAAGCAGGAAATACTGAAAAAACTATCTGAGCTGATGTTAGATATGAAAAAAATGCAGCAAGTCCAATAAAAAACTTAGGCTCATGGGAGGACAGACTATAAATGAAGACAACAAAAAAGATTTAAATGTAGGAAGTAAGGAGTTGGCCATTTGAAAAGACAAACAATATCAACAAACCCTTCCTAGTGAATTTAAAGAAAGAGAAGACCCAAATTTCAAAATTAGAGATGAAAAGGATGACATTACACTAAATAACAATGTGATTTAGAAATTAAGACTTACCTTGAAAACCTATATTCTACTAAATTTCAATATTGACAAAACATGAATTTTTAGATACAAGTGACTTACAAAAGTTAAATCAAAGTGAGAAAAATAAGCAGATAACAAGTAGCAAGACTGGAATAGTCAATGAAAAATCTGTTATGTGAAAGAGCCAGCTTAGATGGATTCACTGCAGAATTCTATCAGTCTTTTGAAGGAGAACTAACACCAATATTCACCAAATTATTCCCTAAAACAAAAAAAGGAAGCCACACTTGAAAACTCATTTTACAAAGTTGACATTACCCTGGTACTCAAATTAGATAAGGATGCAATGAAAAAATGGAATTGCAGACCAATCTCCTTAATGATGATAGAGGCATTTTTTCAATAGAATGCTTGCAAGCCAAATTCAAGAACACATCAAAGAAGGCATTCATCATGATCAGAACTACTTCATTTCAGAGATGCAGGGATGGTTCATTGTATGAAAATCAATAAATGTAATATGTTATATAGATGGACTCAAGGAAAGGAACCACGTGATCATCTCAATAGATGTGGAAAACACCCATGACAAAATCCAACTTCCCTTCATGATTAAAAACTCTGAAGAGACTAGGAATGGAGGGAACATAGTGCAACATAAAGTCTATATGACAAACCTCCAGACAATATCACATGAAATAGAGGGGGAAAGTCAAGACATTTTGATTAAGATAAGGAATAAGACAAGTGTGTCCATTCTCTCCATCCCTATTCATTATAGTACTCAAAGTCTTAGATGAAGTAAGAGACGAGAGAGGTAAATTAAAAGGATTATATGATTATATACATTAGACCTCCCAAAAGACTCCACCAGAACATTCTTAGAGCTGATAAACACTTTCAGCAAAATGACACAATATAAAATTAGTATGCAAAAAAATCAATAGCCTCTCTATGTAGTAATGACAGACATACTAATAAATGAATGAGGAAAACAATTCCATTTACAATAACTTTAAAAATACTTTGGAATAAACCTAATAAGGGAAGCAAAATACCTATACAATAAAAACTTTAAAACATCAAAGAAGGTACTAGAAGATGAAAAGACTTCTTATGATAAAGGATTTGAAGAATTACTACTGTGAAGGCAGTTGTCTTACCAAAAGCAATTTGCAGATTCATTGCCCATCAAAATTCCAACACCATTCTTCCAACTCTTAAAATTCATATGGAGGCACAAAGACCCAAGATAGCTAAAGCAAACTTGAACAATTGAATAATATTGAAAGTATCATCATACCAGATTTCAAGTTACACTACAGAGACACAGTAATGAAAATAGCATGACACTGGCACAACAACAGGCACATAGACCAGTGGAGTAGAACAGAGGACTAGATACAAGTTCACACTGCTACAATTACTTGATATTTTACAAAGATGCCTAAAATACACATTGGGTAAAAATAGTATCTGCCACAAATGGTGCTGGTCAGACTGGATAGCTACATATAGAGGAATGAAACTAGATCCTTACCTTTCATTCTGTACAAAACTCAATCCTAGTTGGGCATGGTGGTGCATTCCTTGAATCCCAGCAGAAAGGCAGAGGTAGGAGGATCTCTGTGAGTTCAAGGTCAGCCTGATCTACATAGTGAATTTCAGGACAGCAAGGACTACATAGAGAGACCCTGTCTCAGAAAAAACAAACAAACAAACAAACAAACAAACAAAACTAAAACTAAAACAAACAGCAGCAGCAGCAGCAGCAGCAACAACAACAGACATTCAACTCCAAGTGACTCAAAGATCTAACATCCGACTTGAAACTCTGAAAGTGCTATAGGAAAAAGTAAGGACAACACTTTAACACAAGGGCGTAGTGTAGGTAGAGTTTCTCTATGTATTGGCAGCCTCTCCCAAATAACTATCCAGAGACGACTTATTTATTATAAATGCTTGGCTAATAGCTCAGGCTTGATACTAGCTAACTCTTACATTTTAAATTAACCCATATTTCTTATCCACCTTCTGCCATGTGCTGTACCTTCTTTTAATGTGTCAATGATTAGAAGTCTTAGGGCTGAAACAACCTCAATCTTTTCTCAAACTTTAAATGGGTAAGAAGCCTGGCTAGCTCAGTCAATAGAGTGTGAGATTCTTAATCTCAGGGTCATGGGTTCAAGGCCCACATCGGGCACCATTTGTAGGGAGATTTTTTTGTCCCTCCTGCCATCTCCCAAATCATGACATGGAGACTTATTATTAATTATTAAAGCTCAGTTGATAGCTTAGGTTTGATTCTAAGTAGCTCTTATAACTTAAATTAACCCATTTCTATTAATTTACTTTCTGCCTCGTGGCTTTATTACCTGTACTCTGCCCATGTTGCTTTCTTGCCTCCTCTGTGTCTGGCTGGCAACTCCTCGTGACTCTGCCCTTTTTCTTCCCAGTGTCCTCTCTGCCCCAAATATCCTGCCTAGCTATTGGCTGTTCAGCTTTTTATTAAACCAATCTGAGTGACAAATCTTCACAGTGTAAAAAAAGATTATTCCACAGCAGCATAGATAAGGCCTTTCTGAGTAAGAACTCTAGTCGCTTAAAAAATAAGGCTAACAACCAGCAATTGCAATTCATGAGATTAAAAAGATCCTTACAGACGAGGAAATGGTTAAGTGAAGAGACCGCCTATAGAACAGGAGAAATCTTCATATATATGGACAGCTACATATCCGACCAAAGGTTCCTACCCAGAGTATACAGAGGTCCCCTTCCCCCCAAAAGTCCTATCAACAGGGAAACAACAGTCCAGTGTTAAAAACAGACTACAGATGGGCTGGAGAGATGGCTCAGAGGCTAAGAGCACTGGCTGCTCTTCCAGAGGTCCTGAGTTCAATTCCCAGCAACCACACGGTGGCTCACAACCACCTATAATTAAATCTGTTGCCCTCTTCTGGCATGCAGGGACACATGCAAGCAGAACACTGTATAAATAATAAATAAATAAATAAATAAATAAATAAATAGATAGATAAATAACAGACTAAAGAATTTAACAGAGTATTCACAAAAGAAGAAACATAAATGACAAATAAACAATTTAAAAATATGTGACATCTTAGCCATTTAGGAAAAGTGAATGAAAACTACACTGAGGTGTCATCTCACTCCGTAAAGAAGGCTGTCATTGGGAAAACAAATGGCAGCAAATGCTGGCAATGGTGTGCAGAAAGGGGAACCCTTATGCACTGTTGGTGGAACTATAGATTTGTACAGCTACTATGGAAAGCAATGTAGGTTTCTGAAAACCCTAAACATACAACTTCCATATGACCTTGCTATACCATGTGCTCAGAGGACTTCTATCCTACCAGGGAGCTATTGCAAATCCATGTTTACTGTTGCTCTGATCACAATAGCAAGGAAATGGAATTAGCCTAGAAGTCCATCAACTGACGAGTACATAATGAAAATGTGGTGCTTACAAAAAATGGAATTTTATTCAGCCATAAAGAAACGTGAAATTTTTAGGAAAATGGATGGAATTGGAAAATATATTAATGGAGGTAGCTCAGGTTCAGAAAGGCTTAAGTAAGACAGGAGGTCAG